CGACACTGGGGTGGCCGTGAGCATGCCACTGCACTCCAGCCTGGGCGACAGAGTGAGACTGACTCAAAAAAAGAAATGATTTAAATATCCTGCAATACCAGATTGATTAAATAAAGGATTGCCTATGAAATCATTTTAAATGATGTTACAGAAGTTCGTGTCATCATGGAATGATATTCGCAATTGTGGTTAAGTTGGAGAAGCAGCCAAATGCTAACCAGTATGCATGATACTGTTTTTGTTTATAGATTTCCAAAGTCAACTATTAGGATGTACCATATAGATTTGCAGATATTTGATATTTTGACCATAAAGCATATCAGTTTCATATGACTCAACCTAGTATGTATCTGAAAGGACATATAAAAAATATTAACAATGGTTGTCCATTGGATACTAGAATCTAAGTGCTTTGTATTTTTTTCTTATTTTTCTAATTGTTCTGCCATGAGCCATTTATTTCAGAATCAAAAGGTATTTTAATGGTAAACTTACATGATGCCTAAATAAAATTGGCACCACTATCTAACTTGGATCACACTATATTTTATCTTAGAACTTTTTTTGTATTACATCATAACTGAGTAATATCAGCATTTTAATAGAAATATATTATTAATCATTTTTCATCTTTCTTTGAAAGTAAAGTGCATATAACATATTTACTTTTTCTTCTCTTTGAAGAGGCTAATAGTCAGCTACGTGTACAAGAGTCTAATGACCTTTGGAGGTTATCAAGATGATTTTATGGTAGTCATTAACAATGAACATTCTAAGGATAAACCAACAGAGAAGTTACTTTTTGCCATGGCAAAACCCAAGGTGAGTGGAAGCCTTTTTGCTAACTTTTTGGTGCTAGCTTTTTTTTTTTTCCCCAAAGTAAAACATGTATTTAGCAAACACTGCATTCCAGATGGACAAACAGATGTTACTTAAAATCAAACAACCATGGGCTCAAATTCTGACTTCTCTTATCTTTCCAATCCTTGGTTTTTTTGTCTGAAAAAAATAGTATGATAGTGCCTACTTCTTTGGGCTAAGAATTAAATGAAGGAAGTTTTTAAAGTACTTAACTCAGTGTCTGGTATACGGAAGGTTTCAAATAAATGGTCATGGTGTAAGTTGTTGTTAGGTACTTTATATATGTTATCTTATTCACTTGGGGTTTTCACTTTATGGATTCATGAGAGGAAAGAGCAGGAGTGTAACATTTAAAGTAAGACAGTGATCCCTGCCATTTTTCTGTCAACATAGCCTAAGTTCACTGGGATATTGCCCACATTTCACAGCATTTTTTGTTTCTTTTTCTGTGTTGGAGTCTCACTCTGTCGCACAGGTTGGAGTGCAGTGGCATGATTGCCTTGACTTGCTGGACTCAGGCGCTCCTTCTGTATCAGCCTTTCAAGTAGCTAGAACTACAGGCGTGCACCACCACACATAACTAATTTTTTGCTTTATTGCAGGGACAAGGTCTCACCAAGTTTCCTAGGCTGGGCTCGAACTCCTGGGCTCAATCCTCTGGCCTCTACCTCCCAAAATGCTGGGATTACAGGCATGAGCCACAGTTGCTTTGACTTATAGACACTTTAACATCTATAAGTAAAGGCAATAAATAAATGGACTACATTCTAACATGTAATTCTAATTTTAGTAAAAAGAAGGATTAAATTGTTTTTCTTAAAACTGTAACTTCTTAAAATTATCAATTAAGAGACTACGTCTTCAGAATCTGAAGCTGTTTTTAAAGAATGGAAGATATCTTATTAAGTCTCTACTTGAGTGAAGACAGCCATTAAGTGCAGAAGATCAGAACACCATCAGTACTTTCGTTTAAATAAAGAGTTGATGTGATATTAACTTTGTTCATTTATATATTCGCAAGTGTGGTTTCTCAATAAGTGACAGAGGCTAATGGTGGCAGCTCATGCCTGTAATCCCAGTGCTTTGGGAGGCTGATGGGGGAGGATCCCTTGAACCCAGGAGTTCAAGGCTGCAATGAGCTATGATTGAACCACTGCACTCCAGCCAAACCAACAGAATGAGACCGTGTCTCTTAAAAAAAAAAAAAAGATAATTGATACAGTTGTGCTGCTGACCATTGTCACATTTCTAATATTGCCACTAAATTGGATTGTTTTTAAGATTCACTCTTTTTACTGGTTGAATGAAAAATTGTGTCAGTGCCTTGATGGTGCTAGACATGTAAGTATGTCAGTGTTTGATCTAGATAGAAGGGAATTTTGGGCACTTATAAATGGGGATCAGCCATGGCCAGCCCTTTACTCTATTTTGAAAGTGTTGAGAACTTCTTTAGGATTATAACAATTCTGTTTTCCTTCTTTTAGATTCTTGAAATCACTCTTTTGATCGCCAGTTACATAAACAACTTCCACCAGCAAAAGGCAGCATTTCACCACCTCTCTGCTCCAGCGCTGCTCTCGGCCCGGACCCGGGGACCCCAAGCCAGGGCGATGGGGAGCCAGCCTCTACTGTCAAGCAGCAGACCAACCAAAGGCCCCACCTTACTCTGAACGCACAAGAGCCTGAACATTCATTTACTTGTCCTCTGCACAGTGGCCGTGTCTACTCCCAAGTTCATCTGTACCTGGCAGCCTGGCATCCACACACTGGTGTTCTAGATCTGACAACGATGGGTTTACTCTCTTTTATTTGATTCTTAAATATTCACATGGATATTAACAATAAAACAAACACAAAATTTGCCAACAGGCTCATTGCTCTTGGAGTAAATGGGTTAGAATTCATCATTTTTTCCATCTCCCTCTTCCTTGTCATTAGACACATTGTGCAATACGGCTTTTCTTTTTTTTTTTTCCTTTAATTTCTGGCAGTCTTTAGAGAGGGAGATTCCAGACTCTTATTTGGTAAACCAGTTGAGTATTTGGAAAAAGTAAGTACTGTAATTAAATGTGCTTTTTAATTAGGGATCCAGTGTTTGGATGGAGTGTGTCACACAGTGTAAGACACAATTGCAGGGTGATGTGTGGAGGATGTTTCTAGAGCAAGTGCAATAAATCTCCTGGCTCTTTGAATCCTTATGTGAAAAAGCAGGGGTTCGGTAACCTGAACTGCCTATGTGGTATTACACAGTATACCTTGTCACCTTTTCAACTCCCTGGAGTGTAACATTTAAAACGAGACAGTGATCCCTGCCATTAGTTTGCTGTCAACATAGCTGAAGTTCACTGGAATATTGCCCACATTTCACTGCATTTGGTGCTGGGTCATCTTGACCTTTGTTCAACAATAATATCTTTGAAAACAAAGACAATCCTTAAAGCTTTGTCCCCTTATACAGTACTTTCTATTTAGTTTGAAAATAAGTTTCCAAAAGTATTTTTAAAAGAAAAGAGAAAGTAATTCTTTTGTCAAAGGAGGTCATGTTTTAGTTGATAGAGTCTTGAAATATATTTACTAGGTTATATAAGTGGTCAGTGCATTCCAGTTTGTGTTACAACAATGTAATTCATGTTCACAATAAAAATGAAACTGTGATAAGACATGAAAATTATATTATAAAATGTTCAATTGTAATAGTAATCATGAGTCTACTTAATTTTATTTATGTATAGAATATTTGTATTTATTTTTTGGACATATTTATCACTTTGTTCGTCATATTTTTTTTAACCAATTTGAGAAAAGTGTTAGCTGCTGAATTAATTTGTTTTTCTTCTTTGCTGCTGTCTCCCTGTGGCAATGTTCTGTTCTCATGTTAAGCCTTTTACACATGTTCTATCCCATGTTAGCATCCTTTGAAGGGACAGAGCTAAGAAATACATCGCTCAAGTACTAGTGTACTTTATTGATAATAACCCAAAGAAGATTTAAAAAAAAACTCATTAAATAGATTTCCATGAACTATTTCCCCTCTTTTGAGCCACAACTACTCTCTGAGCAAGCAAATTAGTTTTTGAGAATAAACTGTTTACCAATTTGGGATGACCTTCAGAAGCCCTTTGGGTGGGATACAGAGAGTTTTTAAGTTCCCAGAAAACCATTAATAATTAGTCAGTGATCCAGAGGCTTGGGAAAGTTGGTACTTATGTGAGAGGGCTTTATTCTTAAGCAATCTGGTAAGTCCCTACCCACAATCTTCTAATTTAAACAAGGAAGGAAGGTTTAGCTTAAACTGTAGTACCTTAGATTTGGCATTTATTTTTGATAGAGATAAAATATTTTGATGGAAAGAAATCAATTTTCTGTAACTGATGATGTGAAAATTTTATTTTCTGGGAAATTATATAGCCATTCAAAAAGTATGTTATTATGATTGGTTACAAGAGAATAATGTTACATGTTTAATTGTAATATTTGTCTCCTATCATTTTCTTCCCTTTCAATCATAATAAATGATTTACAAAACCCATTTTGAGCATTATCTTTTGAATAATCTTCAAGAAATGCCTAATGTTTTCATTGTCAAAGCTGAGGTGTAGTGCTAGTGAAAATGGTAGTTAATACCTCCTTCTCTTGCATTCATGCCTTGTCTCCAGTGTTGCTTTGTTTTATCCACATAAAAGGAAGCTGTTTTGGCAAATCATAATTTTAATACACATGTATGCATATTGACACATAATATGTAAATAGATAAGCAGATGGAAATTTTGGTTCTCCCATGATTTCATAATAATCTCCTTAGAGGAGTCTGTTTCATATGGGTGAACTGAATGGACCGTGTTCCAAATATTTATTTTTAAATGTTCTGGAGTGTGTGTGTGCGCGCTCGCGCGCGCGTGTGTATGTGTACCCTTAAAATCAAATACTACCATAGCTTGCAAATGAGTTTAATTCTCAATTTACATAAGAAGTTAGTTGCAACTTACATTTTTTTTTGAGTCAGGATTTACTCTGTTGTCCAGGCTGGAGTGCAGTGGCGTGTTCATAGATCACTACAGCCTCGAACTCCTAGGCTCAAATGATCCTCCACCTCATCCTCCTGAGTAGCTGGAACTACAGGCATGCACCTCCATACATGGCTGGTTATTTTTTTGTAGATAAAAGGTCTCATTATGTTTCCCAAGCTGGTCTCAAACTCCGGCCCCAAGTGATCCTCCAACTTCAGCCTCCCAAAATGCTGTGCCTGGTCATCGTCTTTTTTACAAAAATGTATTTAATAGTTTATGGTTTGTAAATTTTTTTCATAGGGAATAAAGTGCATGTTCTTACTTCTGTCTGCCAATAATAATAATTATAAAAACTTAGTGGTCAGTTTTCTAGAACAATATGTTTAACCCACCATTGTACCAAAGCATAATCCTGAAGAACTAACCACCATGGATAACTCTCTAGAAAAAGCCTGGAGCGTTCTTGGGATGCCAAGGACACATTTTCTCCATCCACCACCCTCCAGCTGCCATGGAATTTGACCTCCCTCAATGCTGATGGGCCCTGGGCTGACATCGGTAGGGAAGAGGCTCCAGTGGGGTGGGGATCGGGGAGGGAGGGAGAGGAAGAAGAAGTGGACGGGCAGCCTCTCGACTACCTACCTGGTCGGTACAGAAACCGCACCTGTTCTCACATTTTCCTTCATTCTCTTTTCCTTTAAAGGAGAACGGGATTGCAACAAGAGGAACTTTTTCCCCCTTTAGACACCAGATTAAGGTAAATCCACACATAGATATTTAGGAAGAAGTAAGATTTGTTCATATTTCAGTGGGACCGATACGCAGGCTCTTCTTGGGCATTGAAGTGGAAAGGTCAGCCCTACAGTGAAGGAAGAGCTGGTGGGCCTGGCAGAGACCGGGTGAGGAGATGAGATGAGCACTTGTTCCACACTGTGGTTTTCCTCGTTGAATTTAATTTAACCTAAATTGTACATAGTCGCAGTGACTGGAGGCACATGGATAATCAACATCAATCCAAAAATCTTCACTGTATGCTTTATAACTATTTTATAGTCCAGCAATAGGCAAGAAACAAAAAACTTTACTAGGGAAACATCTATTAGCAGATGAAAGGCAGGAACCCCAAGAAACTTAGAAGAGATAGAGAAACTTGGTAAAATAATTCCAGAAACAGTGCAACCATTTTAGCTTCAGCCCTAAACCTGTCACGCTTTGCTGAGCAGTTAGAAAGAAGAAGAACTGGCACTCTCGGGGTTAGGATATGGTAATTATTCTAAACCCCTTAAGCCTATCCTGTCCTGATATTTTTTTCCTTCTAGATATCTGTGTTTCTGGTAATGATGTATTCGGTCTTCAGTTTACCCTCCTCCAGCCCACCAACTGGAGTTATGAGATACTGGTGCCTGGTGATGTCAGAATACAAGACTTATGTGACTTCTGTTATCTACATCAAAGAATGCAACTCTGAACATTCTCCTAGCCCAAACTCCCTTTCAAGAGCCTTAAAAATACCTGGCTCTTGGCTGGGTGCAGTGGCTCAGTGTGTAATCCCAGTACTTTGGGAGGCCTAAGCAAGGGAATTGCTAGAGCCCGGAGATTTGAGACTAGCCTAGGCAACTTGGCGAGATCTCATCTCTAAAATAAATCACAAAAACTAGCCGGACGTGGTGGTGTGTCTGTAGTTCCAGCTACTTGGAAGGCTGAGGAGGAAGGATCGCCTGAGCCCAGCAGGTTGAGGCTACGGTGACTGTGAGCGTGTCTCTGTACTCCAGCCTGGGCGACAAAGAGTGAGACTCCAACTCAAAAAAATAAACAAAAAACAAAAAAACAAAACTCTAGCTCCCCAGCCTTCGAGGCCATGCTTACCTCTGAGCATTGGCCCCTTTCTGTCTACGGAAAGTGGATAATAAGCTTCCTTCTCCTCTGCAAAACTTTGCATTATTCCCACAGCACTGACCTTAGTTTACTCTTTCAGCAGATAACTCCAAAATGAGACACAATTGTTCACCACACAAATCGATGCAGAGCACTCTTCCTTCCAGCATTTTGCTGACATAATCTTCTAGTAAACAGTAGTAGATGGGAGGGGCATCTCTTTCTGAAGCTGCTGCTAGGTTGTATTGTGGTTTTATTAAAATCAGATGACTGTTCTTTAGCAATGGAGTGACAAGAGAAGGCCCTCACTATGTAGCTCTAATGAATTTCCAGGAGTCCCTGGGAACTGAATATTGGTTACATCAGAGGAGATGGCTTAGAAGTTATTAACTTCTTGAATTTCTGAAAAATACTATCAAATTCCAGTGAGAATTGCCTTTGATGAGAGAAAAGCTTATAGAAAGTGTGTAACCTTAGACAAGTTGAGAATTCTGATCAGTGTTTGTAATATGCACAAATCATAAGACTCCTCCCCCCCCACGTCCTCACTGTTCTACTGAAACATCTTTACATGAGGTTACCATTGACCTTCTAACTGCCAAGTCCAGCAGACCCCAGATGGTCCAACTGTCTGCTGGATGCTGTCTGTTTCAAATTCACCATGTCCCCTACACCTACTTCTCCCACTCTTTGCCCCAACAATTGGTTAATAGGATCACCAATTCATCAGTCACCCAAGAGAGCAATAATAACTTTTCTCCTTTTACCCAAATCTTCACTCTCTACTATCTAGTGACTATATATATATATATATATTGTTTTTTTGTTTGTTTGTTTTTTTTGAGTTGGAGTCTCACTCTGTTGCCCAGACTGGAGTGCAGTGGCCACTCCCAGCCACCCCAACCTCGACCTGCTGGGCTCCGGCGATCCTTCTGCTCAGTCTTCCAAGTACCTGGAACTACAGGCGCGCGCTACC